TGTTTGAGAATATCGTTGGATGTGGGAAGGATTCCAGCTTTCCTGCATTCCTTCATGAATGTCTCATCCACCGAACGTATCGGTGGGAGCTTCCGAAGTGCAAGTCTATCCCTGATCACATTTGGAGTCCCACTAGTGAAGGACGTGTCACCTGGGCGGTGCAGCTGAACCACTGGCGGGTTTCCCCGCATCGGAGCCTCTGTTGCTGAGGAGGCTGCGGCTCCAGAAGAGGAGGAAGCTGCGGCGGCAGCGCCTGGCGGGTTTCCCCGCGGAGATGCGCGACTGGCGCTGCCCCTGATCTTCGGCACCCAGGTACCCCTCGACATAGCACCTTCATCGGACCTCCTGGAACGAGCCGCCACAGGCGAAGCTGGCGCAGGTGCATACCCACTGCGCTCGAAAGCTGCCGCCTTTTTCGCAATGGAGCTGCTGCGACTAGGCGGGCGTCTTCGTTCCTCCATAGGGTCCTGAGGTTGCTGCTTGGGCACAGACGCTTGTGGAGGAGTTGCGCCAATCGGCGGCTTCGGCGTCGCAGATCGAGGCACCTCCATATGCACGTCTGGCCCAGGGCTCTGAGAGCTCGCCTTCGGTTTCGGCCCCGAAGACGGCTTAGGTGTCGGGGGTTCACTCTTAGCCTTCGAAGTTAGTGGGAGTGGGGGCTTCCTAGCCCCCTTCATGTAGATCTTGCTGGAATCCTCCAACATCTTGCGAGTTGCCTCGCGCGTGCGTTCTTCTACTGTCCGAATACGCTCCTCATCCTCCGCCACACGTTGAGCCTTTGTCTCGTCCTTGATTATCGGCTCTGGTTGTTGGGACTGGCTAGAGACGCCAGGCGAGTTTCCTCGCATACTAGGAAGACTAAAGAGCGCGTCTTTCTCTTCCTGGGTCATGGCTACCAGCCCCCTTGGAGCCGGGTTAGGCTTCTCGTCTTCTTTCGGATCCAAGTGGCCCAAGATCCCGAGACGACGATTCACTTCCGCGATCTCGTCCTGCGTCATCGGGATAAGTGGCGGATGGCCCTCTTTAGGAGGGGTTTTGCCCCTGTTGGGGCTCAGGCCTTCGTTGTTGCCAACGGGGCATCCTGGCCTGTGATTCTGGAACGGCTGGGAACAAGGTCCGCATGCTGCGTGAGGCCTATACTGCTTGCGCGCCGCGATGATATCTCGTAACTGAGTCCGCACTTCTTGAATTTCAGGGCGGCGGATGTTTGTTGCAAGCTGATAGCCTCCGCGGATGGGCTTGCCATCACTGTCCCTATAGGCAGGGTTGCCCTGGCCGAAGGCCGAGTGTTCCCCTTTTCGGCGTCTTGGGTCGTTGTACGGAAGTAGCTGGCCACCTCTCCTGAGAGCGTGTTCTTTTGGGCCAGCCTGTCTCCACTCACGAGGAAGTCGAGCCTGTGGATGTGGCTCTTCTCTGACGCGCGTATGGGAACGTGATCTTCCGGAGTTCTCATCAGAGGAAGCTGCCGATGCAGCAGGAGCGGCACCCGGTGGAGGTGCCTGAGAGGGCTCCGGTGCGATCCCAGATGGATCATCCGATGGAGGCGGGTCCCCCTGCTGCGTAGAGCTCGGCGCAAGTGGCGCTTGTGCCGATGGTGATGATGATTCAGACTCATCAGGGTCGAAATCAACCTCTTCCTCACCATTCACGCCCATCATGAGGATGGTGACATCATCCTCATCTAACCCGCAGCCATCGCCATCTACTTCTTCTGAAGTCGAACTACCAATGATGATGGCCATTGGCGTATCTGGTACAGGCAGGTTTCCCTGCACAGCCGGCGTCTGGGCGTCGCTCGGCTGTCCCGGAGTAGGAGGCACTGTTGTCGGCTCAGGCTCGTCGCCGAGCATAGGCTGCCCAGCAATGTTACGCATGGCCGTGTGGTTTGGCCTCATTCCCACCGCCTGGAGACCCCATCCTGGCGGAGGAAGATCATGACCGCGCATAGCCATCGCCATTTCCAGAGCACGACGCCATCTACCACGGGAGTATATCAAGTGTCTCTGCACTTCCTGAGGATACACGCTGTCAATGAGAGTCAGAGCTGCCAAAATTAGCTCTGAACTACCGCAAGCATCATTATCCTGTTCTGTCATGATGTCAGCTTCGGTGTGTTCTTGACTCTCAGGATAACCAATTGTAAGTATCTCACGCATCCTCATGAGGGTCTGCAAAAGGGTACGCGGTCCATATCCGCCTGGAGCAAGCGAACCAGGAGGTATGAACGGAATCTGGTTCGCCTGCAATGAAGGCCTGAACAAATGCCTGAGACTCCATTTCAATTAAGTCTTCAGTGGTCTGGGGATATTCACCCATCAAAGAAGGCCTGTTTCCAGGCGGGATTTCGGGCGGAGGTTCGAGGTTCCGTTGAACCTCGGAAGGCGAAGCCTCTATAGTGGTGTCCTCGTCGTCGCTCTCGTAGGCCATGATGTTGCCTGGGTTCCCGAACATCCAGTCGAAGAAAGAAAGAGGCTCGTTTCCAAGCGTACCGTGTTCCACG